TTTTTTTTGGTCTTTTTGAGACAAGGTCTCCCTGTAGCCACAGCTGGCCTGGATTCACTAATGGAGGCCAGGCTGGCGTTGAACTCACAGAGATCTACTGGCCTCTGCCTCCCAAGTGCTGGAATTAAAGGCGTGCGCCACCACGCCCAAGCAGCAAGCTGACCCTGAACTCATTATAGATCCCAGGCTGCCCTCAAACCAGTAATCCTGCTGCCTTGAGACAAGGTCTCCCTGTAGCCACAGCTGGCCTGGATTCACTAATGGAGGCCAGGCTGGCGTTGAACTCACAGAGATCTACTGGCCTCTGCCTCCCAAGTGCTGGAATTAAAGGCGTGCGCCACCACGCCCAAGCAGCAAGCTGACCCTGAACTCATTATAGATCCCAGGCTGCCCTCAAACCAGTAATCCTGCTGCCTAAGCTACCCCAGCACTGTGACTACAGGCTTGTACCAGCATGCCCAACTAGATCATAGCATTTTTATTTTAAACAAAACTACATGCAATTGAGCAACCATGCTGGAGAATTTTGAAATTATTCCTATAAAAAAAACTTAAGTGTATGAGCCATTATGCAGCTGTGAGGGAAATAATACTTGGAGAATAATGAGCTGTTAAATCATACAAGATACAATTACAATTGTCTCACAAACAGAGCACACTTAGCCCACTGACTACCACCAACAGTAAGTGCTTCTTGTACTGCATTTATTGATTTGCAGGAAAGAATTTTCTTTAATTATATGAAAAGATAATTCACTTTTTATCATGTACTTTAATGAATATTTATATGAGGTCAATAAGCTATTAGGATAATGACAAGTTGAACACTATAAAGATTGAATAGACTCACCTCACTTTGGAAATTTTTGAAAAGTAATCTCTAAGTATAAATGCTAAAAAACAAAGTTTTCAGTGCTTTTCTGTGTTTTTCAGATTCAAGTTTGAGTATTCACAATAAGAATTGATAACAAGTACAATTTGAAGTCCTTCCAAATGTAATAATCTCTACCTTCCCAGGACACAGCCCAGTGCCTGACACACACATACAATACTGATGATACTGCAGGCTTAAGGGAAAGATCATCAACAGAAACCAGTGATGAGAAAAGTCCAAAGCCCAGGAAAAAGATCATATCCTTTTCCAAGTGGCCCATTGTAGCTGCATTTTACTAGACATCAGGATACTATGGCAAAAGTAGGAAAGGAGAACCCCAAACAGGAACAGAAAAGCAAACCATGAAGGGTTTAGACAAATGGAGATAACTCAATCTACTGATGTGTTCACCTCACAACTAAGGAAGGAGCTATGAGAAGACCTGCAAAAGCCAGTGGTCCTGAGTTGCATGCTGGACCAAGACACAGACTTGCAGAAACACTGACCAGCAGTTAAACAGGAATAGCTGGCTATAGGTGAGTGACTGCCAGTTTCCAGACGAGGCATAATCACAGCAGTAATGTATTGGGTTAGTCTGAAATTATAACCACGGTGGAAAGTATGATTTTAGGACAGTAGAGGTGAACAAGCCTTTATTTTATTATGTTCTTTCAAATTGCTTTCCTTTTCCAGGCACTGTGCATGTGCTTTCAAGTGTTAACCCCATTTAAACCTGACAATTTTGGCAGACAATTTTGGTAGACAATTTCGATTGTTAATGTTATCTGTCAACATGGACAGGCCGTGGTAACCAGATACTTGGTCAAACATACTTCTGAATATTTCTTTAAAGGCAGCATTTTGTTATTGTGTTGTTTTTGGTTTTGGTATGGATGAAATTAAGCATGCAAATCAGTAGGTTTTGACCCAAGCCCATTACTCTCCCTTTTGAGTGGGCCTCATCAAAATGGTTTTAAGGCCTTAATGGAACAAATACCTCTCCTCAGCAAGAAAGACTTCTACATGCCAAACTGCCTGTGAAATCGGGCTGGTAGGGTATGATGAAGCCAGGACTCATTCTACCCCGAGAGCAGAGTGGAAAAAACAAAGGCAGCAAGCAGTGAAACAATGTGATCATGAGCCAGGCTGGGAGCCCTTTATGATACTGCTGTCACAAGTACCCAGAGCCTTGATGTGCCCAGGAAATGAGACACATTCTTTCTCTGGTCTCCTCATTCAGTTATTTCAGATAGAAGAAATTAAATATTCCTACTAAGTCAACATTTGAAGACTTTATAAAAGGAAGAAAAATAAATAATAAAGAATGGAAACTGGACATGGTAGTGCATGTCTGTGATCCTCAGCTACACAGAAAGATCCTGTCTCAGAGAAAAGCAAGAGCTTAAGGATGCATTTCAGTTGGAGAATGCTTGCTATTCTAGTTCCATTTCTGTTGCTGTGATAAAATACCCTGACAAAAAGAAATTTATGGGAGAAAAGAGTTTATTTCAGCTTGCAATTCCAGGTTACATCATTGTGGGGAAGTCAAGGGAGGAGCTTGAAATAGCTAGTCATATCACAATCACAGTCAACAGCTTAGAGAAATTAATGCACACATGTTCCCTTGCTTGCTTGCTTATGACCAGCTCAATTTCTCCATGCTTATGGACCCCATACCTAGGGAAAAGCACTACCCACATTGGGCTGGGTCTTCCTACATCAACTAACTTAAGACAGCCCCTACGGATGGGCCCACAGCCCAACCCAATGTAGACAATCCCTCATTGAGAGTTTCTTCATAAGTGATTTTAGGTTGTGCCAATCTGGCAATTAAAGCTAACCATCACATCTGTCTACCATGCACAAGACCTAAGTTTGATCCCCAGTATTGCAAGGGGTGGGGGGATGACATAAACGTATTTTGTGTACTCTATTAAAAATTTTTTTAATTAAAATTGCATTTACACACAGCCCCACCTAAAAAAAAAATCTATGGACCCTGTGGACCAAAAATTAGAGCATGCAATAAATACACGATACAGGCTTTTCTGTCAAAAAGTATAGTAGGCCTCAATTGTAGTTGGTTTAAGGAAATTTACAATAGTGAATATATATACGGAACTTATGACCTGAAATATAAACTAAATTCAACCCAGGGGGCAAAGATTGCTGAGTAGAACCAAACAAATTTTGCAAACCACCAAAAATAGGGGAAGGAGCAGGATTAAGTTACATTTCTGAAGAGTGAAGGGCCAGACAAAAGACTTTACCACAAAAGGGTACAGCGAAGGCAGGTCACTGGTCATCCTACCCTTCCTTCTCCTTCTCCCCATGGCTCTTTTCACCATTTTCAAAGGTAAATAGATTATCTATTCCATTACTCTTCCTCCAATTTTACTTCTAGTAATAAGATGCTGAACAGACAATCCCACTACATAAAAGCAGAGCACTCCAAACGAATAAAGGTCAGGGAGAGAAGGTGTTGTGCATCTCCTAACATTCACAATTTAACCAGCTAGCTTCCCTTGGGGCTAGCTCCCCCAAAAGCCCTTCATTTCCTCAGTAAAGTATAAAACACATTAGTGACAGTCCCAGCCTCTTAATTTACAAAGGAGGAAACTGTGCCCTGCCTAGAGGGTTAATGCTGCTGCCCCAGGAGAGGACTTATGTTTCCTGGAACCTCTGTTAAAATCAAAATATTTCTTCTTCACAAGTACAAATTTGTGGCTCAAAGATTGTTTCCCGTAAATTAAATTCTACAAACTCATGCCATGTCTCTATTCTAGATTTCAACTCAAGCTTCAAATAGGTCAGTAGCCATGCATCAATAAGTATCTATTTAAGTCAGTTAAGCTACTCTGCTTAGAGATATGCCAACTCTTATTTAATTATCACAACACTGAGAAGATCAAGAAAGTTGGTTCAGAGACTTACTTTAACCTGTCCAGGATTTTAGAGCTAAGCAGGGTGGAATCCTGGTCCATCTCCTAAAGCCAAGATCAGACCCTTGCACTTTTCTAAGCCCAGTGTCTTCCACATTCATACTTATCTTCACCTGGCCCCCAGAAATGTAGAACTGTCATTCCTTTCACTAGACATGAGGTGCTTTTCCCTTCAGACTGGTATGCTGAGGCCAAGCACAAAGGCATCCACAAAGCTTGTCTTAAAACTCAGACTTCTAGTTACAGACTACAGACCTGATCCTCACATCCACCTCAGATCTTGACAAAGGCCTTCAACATCCTTTGTGAACAAAGGCTACATATGTTCAATTTCATAGTGAAACAGAAGCTGTCAAAAACGTCTCATAAAAGAGCCAGAGAGCCAACTTTGCACTGATACTGGGAAGACAGGTTAGCTGGTAAGATGTGCTTAATATTCTGTATCATCTAACAGGTAAAGGCATTAGAATTCGAGTTTAGGGGCTGCCTTGAGGCAAAAGATGACTGCCATCGAAACCCCGGGGCAAGGGCTGCGCTCAATGATTTGAATTTGGGGAAAGTAAAAGTTCAGATTGAAGGACTTGCTGGGAGCGGAGTTATTTGAAGTTGTTAGTCGTAAGAAAGCCTGAATCCAAACTATGGAGGCCTGACCTCAGGAACTGTGAGGGAATTCATTTCCGTTGGTGGGGGAGGGGTGATAATAACTAATTGGTAACCGGGAGGAGAAATTTAAAGACGTCTATGAACCGTGAGGGATAGACCAAACGGTCCTAGGCATAAAAAAGTGGCAGTTTCTAGGTGGGCTCTGGTGTCCGACCTCTGGGAACCAGGATCCTGCTGGTTGGGACCTGGGACCTCAAACTCCCAACCCCCATTACCTTCTGGTCGAAGTAATAAATTGAGTAGTTACTGGTTTCAGCACTTCGGGTTTCGGAGATACCCAAGGTTTCGCTGGAGAGGGCCCTTAGGGCTGGACCAAAGGTTGGGGCTGCCCGGGGTTCCAGGAAAGGCAGGAGCAGGAGCAGGAGCACTAGGCCGCCCATGGCTCTAGCTGGCCGCCCAGCAGGTGGCAGGACGAGAGCCACCGGCAGAAGCGCGTGCCCGCCCAGCTGGCAGCTCCCCAGCTGCAGACCGGCTCCTCCCGGGGAAACTCAGAGCCAGGGCCCTCGGACTCGATTTGTACCGCCTCCACCCCCGCATCCCCTTCGAAGGATCCATCTTCCATCCGACTCCACGTGGGCCTTTATCCCGCCAAGACCTTGCCCCATCTTTGTCTATGGGGGCCTTAAACCAGCTGCTCCTCCAGGCCTTTATTGTCACCGCCCAGCTGCTCCAGCCACCTCAACCTCACCGCACTGCTGCTCTGCCACACAATGACGAATCCTACATGATGGCACTAATAAAAGAGTCCACCATAATGTATTAGCAATCTATCCCAGGCACAATGGCGCACACATCACCTCTTCTTAACCACCACAGCAACTCTGAGCACTATCTATGACTGTCATATCTATTCATAGATGAGGAAATAGACTCCGAGAAGTGTGGGGACTTGGCGCTGGATCTCTCGGGAAGTCTCAGCAAGGCCTGGGGAGCCCTGGGTCCACCTCCTGGCTGTGTTTCACTTCCATTTCAGTATTTTCTACTCTTTCCGTTCAGTGATTTGGGAGCCCGATTATGATTGCTTCTCTTAAGACCTGTCTCTGCCTCCAAAGCCGGGATCAAAGGTGTGTGTCATCACCACTGTCTTTATTTTTCTGATTTTTTCAACTGTATAAACTTCTCTCTTAGAACCATTTTCACAATTCTAAGTATGTTACTTTCATTTTTACTGAACTCCAGGAATTTTTAAATTTCCCTCCTATTTTCTTTGAGGAACCATAGATCATTTAATCAATACTGTATTCTTCAATCTCTGTATCTGCATTTTCTGTAGTTTATCTTGCTATTAATTTCTAGTTTTTATTCCATTGTGGCCAGATAGACTACAGGAAATTATTTCAATCTCTTTGTATTTGTTAAGACTTGCTTTGTGTCCTAATATGTGGTTTATTTTAAAGAAAATTCCATGGGCTGCTGAGAAGAATGTGTATTCTGCCTGTAAGGCTAGGGTGGAATATTCTGTAGAATTTTTTTGAACTTCCTTATTTTATTCACCTGTTTGTGGTCTCTAGATTCATTCAGAAGTTTGTATTCTCTAATTTTGTTACCCTTTGTTCTAATAATCATTCTTGAATTATTGTCCATGATTTCAGCTGAGTCATTCTCATTGGTATCCATTACTGTGGACTTGGTAATTTTTCAAAGACTCATGTTACCTTGACTTTTCATGTTTTTTGTGATTCTGCAATGGAATTTCTGCATCTGAGATAAGGTTATTGGCTGGATTTCTTTTGATCATCCATATTCTTTCAGTTGAACTATCTGCTGGGAACCAAACCCAGGCCCTCTGCAAGAGCAGCAAGAGCTCTTAACTGCTGACCCGTCTCTCCAGCCCCAGACTTGCTCATCCCCCTTCCAGGGAGCTAGTGAGTCTCATTCCGATCCGTGGCTCAGACCACATATCCACAACATAGAATACTTTGTGATTCTGTCTCAGTTTTTCCTCTCTGGCTTGAGGCATTCTGCATGCTAAGACTTAGAGAACAATCCCATGTCACTTGCACTAGGGTCCCAGAGTAGATGATGCAATGCCCTTAGCCTCTAGAGCTGCCTTTTGGCACAGTAGTGATCATTTTAAAATAGCCTCTTGCATCTGCTCCAAATGTTGAAAAGAGCAGATTTTCCCAGAAAATCCATATACCATCCTATACAGTATATGGACCCCACAATTTCTATATGGTTAGACTACAAATCTGTGATGAGCCCAGTGTTTGCTGTGTGTTTTGAATCTCTATTGTTTTGCCTTTGATCTTCACCTCTCCCTCTGCTGTCGCATATGGCTACCATGGAGTCTTTCTCTTCTGTCTCCCTCTCTCACTTTCACTCTTTCCCATACCTGTAAATTATCTTGCACTGATGGTAGAATGCAAAATCTGAGGCCCTCTCTTTGTCTTATGCTACAGTTCCAATCCTCTGTAGTTGCATTCACTCCACTCTGGTATTAGAGTACTGCCCAGTTGGGGCTGAGTCTCCCACTGAATGAACTCTGGACTCTCCTGTTCTATTTTCCTCTTACTTTGTTTTGGGTTTGGTTTTCTTTTTTTTTTTTTTTTTTTTTTTTTTTTTTTTTTTTTTTTTTCTTGACAAGGTATCATGTAGCCTAGACTGGCCTTAAACTATGTGGTTAAGGCTGGCCTTGAACTACGGATCCCCCTATATTCATTTCTTCATTGCAAGATTACAGGTGTGTATTTGTTTGACTTTCTAAAGTTTTCTTTCTTTGTGTGCTTCTGGAACTACAATAGGAAGGTCAGTCTTCAACTACTCCCAGTTTATGCCCCAGAAATACTAGCAGTTGGTACATGGATATTGTTACCATTTTCTAGTTCCTTGCTAGACAGTATTTTTATTATATTGGTTTTTTAGTTATAGGGTTTGGGAGATGATTCAGTAAGTAAAGTGTTTGTTGCACAAACATGAGGGCTCGAGTTCAGATCCCCAGCACACATATAAAAAGCTAGGTGTGGCAGCATGTATCTGTAACCCAGCCCTGGAGGACAGAGACAGACAGATCCTAGGTGTCTCACAAGCCAACCACCAGTTTAGTCAAAAAACAAGCCCCAGGTTCAGTGAGAGACCCTGTCTCAAAGGAAAAAAAAAAAGATACCCAAAATGAACTTCTGGCCTCTATGTTCACATGCATTAGTATATACTCCTCCAAAGTGAAATGTTTAGAAAATATTTAAAATATATAAAGGAAACTCTAAGTATTTTAGTGTGTGTGTTTGTTTAGGTATGGACATGCCATGGCACACATATGGTAGTCAGGCAACCTGTCAAATGGTCTTATCTGGTACTGAACTGTCTTCTACAACTCATTCCACATCCCTTTTACCCTCAGCAAGCACCTCAACTGGTTTTGGTCCTTTTGTAATTTTTTATGTTAAAAAATGTTTTTATGCAAAGTCTCACTATGTAGCCCTGGTTGGAACTCACAGAGATCCACCTACCTCTGCCTCTTGAGTGCTGGGATAAAAAGTTCTTTTCCTTGAAGGTATAGCCACACCTTTATTTGTGAAGAATCTGGTCATTTATCATCTTGCCTGAATTGGGCTTCCGTAGCTTCCCATTGACGTTAATCACCGGACATGGAGACACTGACAGACACCCTAAAGGATCTCCTGCACTCCAGACATACTGTCCCTTAGCTCCATCATGGAGAAGCAGGGTAATTTCCCCCTTATAGTCTGAATCAATCACCCCTGTAACACCATAAATCCTTTCTTAGCCTATTGACTCAAGAGCATCAGGAGCCCAAAGTGGCCAGGGGAAGTCACAGCTTTCAGTTCAATGGGATGCTTGTTGTACCTCCTCCTGGCAGAAGCACGCTCCCCTCTGGAACCAAAATTTCTTAGGCCCAGCAGAGCAAAAAGACACAGGCATGAAAAACAGACAGCTAATTGGTCATTATTTTCACCTCTTGATTCCTATTTCTACTCCGTGATTTCTGGACCCACAAATCCTGGCTATGGAAGAAACAGTACCATATATTGGATTCTGATTCAGAGAATACACAACTTTCTGGAGAACCTTGCCCTAGCCTTCTAGGCTACTGCTCCCTAGTTGGCACTGTACCTGTGTTTACAAGGCCATTCCAGTGTTCTTTCAAGCCAGCTTCTTCAGGATGTTGGGAGCATGTTAAAATCAGCAATTCCATGAGCAGGAGCCCACTGCCACAAATCTTTGACTGTGAAGCGAGCTCCATGGTCAAAAGCAATGCTGTATGGGCTACCACGATGGTGCATAAGGCATTCTGTGAGTCCATGAATGGTAGTATTGGCAGAAACAATAGGTGCATGAAAGGCAAACCATATCCAGAATAAATATTTATTCCATTAAGGATAACCCACTGCCCTTTTCTGTGATGGAAGTAGTCCTATGCTAACAGGTCATTGGCTGGTCACCCTGAGGAATGGTGCCTTATAGGAGGCAGATTTGGCACTCATAGCCAGGAAATCCTTGGTGAGGCCATGTTGTTGTGCCCATACACCTTTATCTCTGGCACCATGGCCACTGTTCATGGGCTGTTGGTCAATCATAGGGATGACTGTGGAAAGATCTGACTACTATCTGTCACAGAATGTGTCATCCTATCTACTATCTAGTAGCCAATGAAAATTAATAAACAGACAGGGAAAGGTATCTATGTAGTCTACCTCCTAGACAAACAAGATTCCCAGTTTGACCCCAGCTAGACACACTCTTGCCCAGCACCACTGACCCAAGAAAGCCAGCATGATGGTTCCCCAAGAGCTTGAACAAAGAACTGCACTCCCATTTCCTGGAATGACCAACTGCATCTCTCTCTTTTAACTCAACAATTTCTATAAATGCATCTCAACTCATTCCTGTAATTCTCATTTCATGTTCACATCAACTCCATCACTCATCTAAAAAGCACAAGTTTTCCTGGATTGGCTGGTTGAACTGTTTTACAACCTAGATGAAGACATTCACAAGCATTCAGCCTTATTTCCTCCTGAAAAGATGAGTTCATCATCTCCTAAGAGGCTACCACCTTCAAAGTTTCTGCTTCTAAAATTTGGAGCATATTCTGTGGTTCTGCACCATAAAGGTGCCAAAATTCCCACTTGGCTGCAAACCCTTTTTTGAAACACAAGACATCAATAAGGTAATGGATTAAAATACATACTTTCCCCACAAAGATGCAGTGAGGGAGATCATAACCTGTGACTGCTTCTTTTCTCATTGTTGTGAAAAGATACCTGACATAAGCAACTTTAGGAAGGGCTGATTTTGGCTCTCAGTTTAAGGATACGGTCCATCATGGTAGGGAAGTTGAGGCAGAAGTGGGAGGCAGTGATCACATTGCAGACACAGACAGGAAGCAGAGAAAGACAAGCACTCACGCTCAGCCTACTTTTTTCTTTTTATTCAGTCCTAGGACCCCCAGCTCATAGTATGGATGGTAGCATACTGAGATTGTTTTCCCTCTTCAGTTAAACCTTTCTGGGCACACCTAGAGCTGTGTTTCAATGGTGATTCTGAATCCAGTCAAGTTGACAGTGAAGGTTAATCATCACCTGGCCCAGATTACGCTCTATCTGTCCACTTCACTGCCAATCTCCCCCCACAAATGCTTTTCTGCAATGTGCTCTGACATGTTATTCCCTCCTGCAACACCCTTTTTCTCCTCTGCACACCCAGCGCACTTCCCACTCTGCCTTGGAACTCCCATGTGATCACCTCCTCTAGGAAGTCTTTCTTAACTTGGGATGCACTGTGGGCAAGTTTAGGCTGTGACATCACAGCGACTTATTTGGCCCACCACTTATTAACTATAAAATTATGAGGAAGTGGTTGAGCCTCAGCATCATCACAAATGGGATGATGGGACTTCCCCCTACCATGGATGTGAAGACTGAATGACTGAGCTTAAGTGAAGCATTTGGCTCAGCTCCTGGCAAATAAACACTATACTAAGGTTGAGCTACTATTATAAATGACTCAAGGTATACTCAATCACTTGTAATAAATGTTTTTAAGATGCATTTTATACATCCTTACCTGCCTCCTCACAAGACTGTGACCCTCTTAAATCAGAGATTTATTCATAACTGTATTCCCAGAACTATGTATTCTACCCAGCCTATAAGTAGCCACAAAAAAAATCATTGTTGAATTAAATTATATACCTTGGAATGAAATATATTCATGGAACAAGAATCTGAAATTTTAAATGAAATAAAATGAAAGCATACAACACATTACATGTAAATGTTGCATATTAACTGTCACACTTTCATGTTCATTTCCATTTGCATTCTTTAAATTAACTCATATGGCAGGTACTGTCTCTAGCTCATAAATGAGGGGACAGATTAACCCTGATCCAAAGTCACAGAAGAGTTTGCCAAATTCTACTTTCTATTACTTTTCTTCCTTCTTGTGAGTCCCTTACTTACTGACCCGGACTAATAGGGAATAGCTTAGCCTTTCTTATGACTCAGGTATAAGGGTGTAAATGTTCACAAGTGCTCTGTCATTCAGCATCTTTCTGCAAGACGCCACTCCCCATGGTGACCACAGTCCCTGCTTCTAGGGATCCTCAGGAGAAAGTGCACCATATGCTCGGTGCTCTGCTCAAGGCACTTAGACATTTCTGTCAGTGCTTTGGTCTCCTCCAGGCTTTTCCTGTGTTTTTGTGCAGCTGTGAAGGTGGCGCAGAAGGGTATCAAAAACTGCAAATAGTCTCTACCTCTGGAGACAGGCATTTACTAGAAGAAAGAACCAATGGCTTCTCAGAGCATTGTTCAGCCACATTAGAGAGGATTAACAGATACATTCAGCTATTCTAACAGATTTTCTTTAATTCACCTCTGCCTCTCACACTTAAATTAGTATTGTCATTAAAGGGTGCCTCTTATAGAAAGTACTTCAACTACTGAAACCACCCAGAGAGGGCCCACACATTATCAAGCACCAAGACAAACAAGAGGGATTTGTATTCCCACATTTTAAGAGGTAGGAGAGCCACAAGAGCCAGCTTGGGCCACATAGTAAGACCCTGTCTCTAAAAGTAAAACAAAATGGGAGGGAGAGAGGGAGAAGAAAAGGAAGAGGAGAAAGAAGAGAGGAGGAGGAGGAGGAGGAGGAGGAGGAGGAGGAGGAGGAGGAGTTGTTTTGTTGGAGAGGAGAGAGAAGAGATCAAGGTAGAAATGATTTTGCAAATGACTAGTGGCCACATAGCCAGTTACTCTGCAATCGGAGCTGGGAAGACTAAAAATGGCTTCGATATGAAGGCCAACAAAAATCAGGAAGACCAAGACAAGATGGATAAGGAGTGGATAGAAATAGGGGTGCGTGCTCTCTGCATCAGGAAAAGTGCATTTGGAATCAAGGAAACTGCCACTTACTAGATCTGTGGACATGGTTATAATTTCCTGGCTCTATAGACCCCCTAAGGAAGTTCTCCGAATTTATTTATTCCACCTATTGAATCTAGGTAGTTAAGGTTAACAAAAAGAGAAAACAAAAATCATTCCATTCTATATGTCTCCCATTTCCTGTTTGTTAATCACACCATTAATTACAAGGATGCCTTAAATGTTTTGTTATTATTATTATTTCTACTACAATGGGGTCTCGCTTTGATGAGCATACTGGCCTTGAATTTCTAGGGCTAAAACTATCTTCCTGTCTGAATCTCTTGAGTACCAGGGACTAAAGGTGCATCCACCTTGTCCAGCAATATTAACTTAATAGGGCTGATTTTGTATTTTGATTCTATTTCAAGTTAAAATTAAATTAAAGCACATTAAAATTAGGGTAACATCAGTTAAGGCTGTTGTTATATACATAAAATATAGAGGAGGAGCAAATTATACTTGTATAATTTTTTTTTCAATTTGTCTCTTCAGAAAAGTCCATCTCCATGAAACGGTTAATATTAAATGAAATGTCAAAAGTCTTTTAATTTTCAAAAACAGTAAAACAGTTTCACGGAAAACTGCCTAAAATCCTAAAATAAAAGTACAAATATTTTCTATTAAATCTTGACCATGCTCAAGGCATGGTTTCAAAAAACAAGAAATGTTTCTAAAACAGGATGATAAAACATCACTGAGAAAATAAAAAGAGACTAGGAGGAACTTTGCTGGCAAAGCAGAAACTGTTAGCCTCTCTCTGGGTCCCTGAAAGTTTTTGATTCAACCTTACTTGTTATCCTAGAAAAGCTCTTCTGAACAAAGGTCTCAGAGAAAGAACTGCTTGTTAAGAAGCCAACCCCTGGGGAAAGGAGAGATGGTTCAGTGGTTAAGAGCACTGGCTGTTCTTGCTGAGGACCCAGGTTCGGTTCCCAGCACTGACATTGTAGCTAACAACCATGTGTAACTCCAGTTCCTGGGGATCCGACATCTTTTCTGGCCTCTGCAGTCACTGCGTGACACAAACACACTTACATACATACAGGCTTTACACCATACACATAAAACAAAAATAATGTTTTTTAAAAGTCAACTCCTTGAACCCGGGATGGCCTTCCATTTATTAATTTCAAATATGCTGCCTGTATGAATCACTCTGCTTGTCTTTTGGAAGCCAGACAGAAAAGTCTGCATGCACCTGCCTTCTGACACTTCTGTCTTTAACAATACCACTAACAACAATTAGAAAGCAAAAATGTCTGAAGAAATAAACAGAACAACAATCTACTTTCTCAATAGCTGATCTGTCGATTTTTAAAGGAGTTTTTACTAACAGCTTGTTCAGATTTAAAGTAAAAACCAAAACAGCAATTTTCCTAAATTGGCAGAATTTAACTAAATTACCACAAAGGTGACCCGAGAAACAAAGAGAAGTGGAGCAGGAGAAGGCCAGATTTCTTCCTGGCACAACCACGGTGGCAAATATCCCAGAACTAAGGAGAGCTGCCAAGTGGGAAAGAAAAAGCAGCCAGCCCAGGCACACTGCCTTCCCAACAGCTGGAGGGAGACGAGGCACAGCACACAGGTAGAAGGTCCAACCTGGTTCTTTAGTGCAGCACGGTTCAAAGTCTGTAAATCAAGTTAAGTCTGTAAATCAAGTTCAAAAGAAACGGCCCTGTTTCCTGGATTGGCCTCACACATCCTTCCTACCAGCTGCAACTGTGTCATTTTTAATTCAGCTTCTGCTTTTCCTATTTGAGGTAGGAATGGGGACTTAACAATGGGCCAGGAGACCGGTGAAAAGCAGTTAGGAAAGGCTCCAGTTGTGATGGCCTGGGAGCTGTCATGAGGACGTTCTTCCTGGAGATGACACAAAGGCAGTGAGGACGGAACAGTGACCTGGGTGGGACGGCAGTGCTCACCCCATCACTCTCTTCCGTATCAGCCTTGGCCCAACAAATCCAAAGACAAATGAGAGAAAGTAATTTCACACAGAAAATCAAAGTGAGTGGGATGTGGGTGGAAAAAACAGAAAAGAAGAAAGCAAAAATTATTATTATTTTTTTTTAAAAAAGTTGCTCAGCCCTGCCTTCTGGCACTGCCATAGAAATCTGTGATCCATCCCTTCATGTATTTAACTTCCAATGACCGGGCCAACAGCACAGAGGAGGGATCAAAGGCAGTGTTGGCTCGCAGATCTAAATGATGGGCTGCGTCTGGGATGTTGATAGCCACCAGAGTATCTGTGATGTTTTTGGTTACTCCACCTCCTGACCATGGGTCGAGGTCACCGTTGCTGCAAGTAAGGAGAAGAAGAAAAATTAAGGTCATCAGTTCCTTATCCTCAGATAAAATACAAGAAACATGCTATATACATGAACCTAAAATTATAAACACACAACCTGGATATTTGGTCTGAGGATATAATTCATAACATAAGAAGATACTTCATGCCGGAATAGCACATAGTTCTGTAGAAATAGACCCAGAGAAGACTGGAGTTGGTACTTCATGGAGCAAGCTAGACTAACTGGGACTCAGAATTTAAGAACCTGAATTCCAATCCTGGCTTCATTATCCAAAATCAATGTGACACAAGTTATCTGACTTATTTTCCTCATCTGTAAGATAGGAAAAACAAGGCATACCCCATAAGTTTTAAACATTAAACCAGATGGTGCATGTGTAGGTACTTAAGAAGCACCAAAGGTGGGGTACATAGGAGACCCTCAACTCCTGCCTGCTTCTTTTTTTTCCTAGGACCCAACTGAAGAGATTCAAAAACATTTCCATATTTCAAATTACAAGTTAAGGGGCTGGAGAGACGGGTCAGTGGTTAAGAACACTGGTTGCTCTTGCAGAAGACCTGGGTTCAAATCCTAGCACTCATATGGCAGCTAACAACTCTCTGTAACTCCAGTTCCAGGGGATCCGACAGCCTCATTTGTCTTCCGTGGGCATTGCACGACACGGGTGCACTTACCTACATGCAGGCAATACACACATACACATAAAATAAAAATAATAAAATACGAAAAAAATGCAAGTTAATGTTTAGCAGAAGGAAGGTAAGAAGAGAGGAAAAGGAAGTAGAGTTTTATGTTTTACTAAATAAAGAATAGTGCTTTGGTACATAAGGTGATCAAACTGAAAAAAAAAAGTCCTCAGTATGTGGACAGAAAATTTAGACTCTATTCAAAGATCTTCATTTGCATTAGCTTGAAAGTTCAGGAACTGTTGCTAGGGTTATTAGTCCTGGCTGCTTCATGTAATGTACAGTAGAATGATTTACGCAGCATTAGCCAGTAACATTAGTTGATCAGCCTAGCTGAGTAAAATGTGCCTCCACAGACAATATCTCTAATACTTTTGAATAACTATGCCAAGTTAAATGCTATAACTCATTTACTACACATTTTATCCACAGAAAGTACCTGGCTAGAAACAAACAAACAAACAAACAAACAAACAAACAAACTGGGCATGGTGGCACACACCTTTAATCCTAGTACTCAGGAGGCAGAGATAGGCAGATCTCTATGAGGTCTAAGCCAGCCTTGTCTACATAACAAGTTCCAGGCAGCTGGGGCTTAGGGAACCCCTGTCTCAAAATAAACAAACAAATAAAAACAAAACAAAAAAATTAAGTGCTTGGCTTAATGGTTCTTAGTATATTCAGAGTTGAAAACCTTCACATAATTTACATCATACCCTGCAGAAACTCATTAGCAATCACTCGCCATTTCTGCAGATGTTCCCACTATCAGCCCTGAGTAACTACTTTCCATTTCTACTGATTTAGCTTATGGATATTTGATATAAAGAGGATTGTGCATTAGGTATTCTTTTGAGACTGGCTTCTTTCACTTGGCATGTTTCAAGTCATACATGTTGGAGCATATATATTATATATATACACACACACATATAACCTTTTTATTGCCAAGTACTATATTATCATATATAAAAATCATTTTCTTTATCCTTTAATCAACTGATGTACCTTTATGCTGTTTCCAACTTTTTGATATTATGAACATTGCTCACTTGAACATTATCACATACAAGTTTTTTTTTTGGTGTGTGTGTGTGTGTGTGTGTGTGTACATTTTAATTTCTCCTGGGTGTGTACCTAAGGAATGGAATTTCTGAGACATGTGATACCACTTAACCTTTTCATGAATTGCCAGACAACTTTCCAAAGAGGCTTCACCATTTTATATTCCCAATAGCAACATAGGATCCTGATTTCTCTTGTGGATTTGGTGGTGTAGATGCAGGGGAATGAACCTGGTGTCCAAAACATACTAAGCACATGCTTTACCTCGGGGCTATGTCTTCACTGTGGTTTTGATTTTTATTTCCTCCCAAACTGATGATCTTGACCATGTTTTCACAGTCCATTCATATACATTTTTTGAAAACTCTCTTTCAAGATTTTCACTTTTTTTTCTTTTTTAAGACAGGGTCTCATTCTTGTCCAGGCTGGCCTGGAATTATGTGTCTCATGTTGGTCCTAGAGTAGTGGCAATCCTCCTGCCTCATTCTCCCAGATTCCGGATCTACAGGTGTGAGCCACCACATTTGGCTTCTGACCCATTTTTAACTGGGTTATGTATCTTTCTATTTCTGAGTTAAAAGAATGCATTCTCACTAGAAAGGTGGTGCACATCTGTAATCTCAATATTTGGGAAACTGAGGCACTAGGATCACAAATTCAAGGCTAGCCTTAAAATTTTTATTTTTAATTTTATTTAAAAAATTTAGAGCTCCATTCTCCTGCTCCAGGGCTCACAGCTACTCTGCTTAGCTAGTCAGACCCTCCCCATGCTGTCCCCACCCCCACCTGAGCCTAGGCCTCCTCCAGCTTGTTCCACCTGAGACTAGTGGACCAGCCTGACAAGCATGCCTCTCACCACTCACCAAAGAAGCTTCTTTTTGCAACAGATGGAGACTATTACAGAGTTCCACAACTGGTCACACACAAAGAATAAATGTCTGTGAGAAGCCCAACCCTAACTAACACATCTACAACGCAACTTCTACACCTAAGGCTCAGTGGGCATAGTGGAACAGGGGGTAGACAGAGTAATACATCTCTCAACTCTCACCAGCAAAGCTTCCTCAAGTAACAGATGTTGATCACAGAAGGCCACAACTGGCAAAATTTAGAGAACAAGAGACTGAAGAGTGCAAGTCCTGGTTAGGACTCCCATATTAAACCTCTGCCACCAGGGCTCAGGGACCGTTGTGGAAGAGGGGATGGAAGGACTGTAAAAGCCAGGGGTGGTGGATGACTACAAGGAAACACAGGTTTCCAAGCGACTGGGAACTTGTGCGTATGAACTTACAGCAATGGGGACAGCATGCATAAAACCCACACAAACTTAAAACCAGATAAAAACCTACCATAGAAATGGGGAAATGGGTAAGAAGCAACAGCCTTAGCTGAGGTTAACTTTAGTTTATCTATTGGCAACTGATCACTACGGGATGAGGGAGAGTTGGTCTTCTGTAAGGGAATCATGCTAGATGGATTGAACAGGCTCCAGTGGATGAACTCACACTAAGAAAGAACTATCTGGGTATACAAACTTGACTTGATAGCCTTAACATATATGACAGAATGCATGAAATCTTATGGGCAGACTATGGGAGGGAGGTGTAGAAGGGGAAGGGGTCTAAATATGATTAAGATATATGAAATCCACAAAAATTTAATAAGGATATACATTGAAAAAAGGTGTTATTGCTGGTAGATATCTGCAATCCCAGAACTTTGGAAGTAGAGGAAGAAGGATCAGGAATTCAAGGTCTTTTCTAGCTATATAATGAGTTCAAGAACAGCCTGTACTGCATAAGACCTTGCCTCAAAAAAACAAAGTGTTATCTTTTCCAATATGAGATGTCTTTCCATTAAAAGGAAGATTATTTAAAGTCATAAGGAAACCTGATACTTGGTAAGCTAATTAAAAAAATTAAATTTTGAAAAAAGTTTCAGTGGAGCTGTAATTAAACAAAAATCCCAGTGCCAGGGATGGGCTACCTCTCCTTGAGTTACCAACCAGGGAGGCCCCTAAAACAATACAGGCAATTGCCACTGGTGTTGGTTGCCCACCAATACTAGCCGGTAAGAAGCTCTAGCTGAAGACATCACACACCTTATTTGCAGGTCACACAGAAATCAAACTGGAACTGGACTGGAAATTTCTTCTCTGCTGGCTAGCCCTCATAGCACCACAAAGTGCTATGCAGACTGCTGGGGGAGAACCGTCATCTCTGCTATGGTCCTGCTCTGCTATGGACGCTGTGTGCAACAACACAGACAAGCCAGGCAAGAAGAGACCATTGGAGCAACAGTGGCAAGTCTGTTATGGGAGTAACTAGCCACTTTCCAATTGGATTTGATGCTCACTCTACAGGAGGGAATTCACATCTGGTACTGTAAAACCTCATCACAAGTTCATGGCTAGGGAGGATACCCAAGAGGGGAAGCTACTGCTGTTGTTTTGCTAAATAACTATGTTTATACCCACAGAACAGTGCCATGGTCAGCTTTGGTCAAAGAAGCTTCTTTTCATAGTAGTTAGCAGTGACTACAGAGATGCCTAAGTGGTTAAAAGTGCTGAGAATGACTGCTGAATGCCCAGTCATAGCCCCATATACTTTCATGTAGATGGGACCTCTGTCAACTGCTTTCAAGGCTCAGGGAACATCACAGAATAAGAAGCAGAAAGAATGTAAGAGCTGGAGGAAGGAGGAAGAGCAGTGTGGAATGCTGACTTCCAGGCATCACATAGCTTTTATACTCTTGAGCTCACAGCATCTGTGATTACCTGCACAAGATGACAACACGATTGGATCTGTCAATATCCTGAAACATAGAGGTGCCTGTGGGGCTGCACCTTTCCCTGAGAATTGACATACAGGTAATGGCTGATAGGGGGAGAGACCATATGCTTCTATGAACAACCCTAATGAAACTCATTATGCTTAAAAAAAAAAAAAAGACATAAAAGTATATGGGGGCTAGAAGTGGGGCTGGAGGAAGGGAATTAATGGGAGAGGGAGAGGAAAAGGAGAGCGTTATGGGAGGGGGAAAGTAAGATTGAAAAACATTGTGTACATGTATGAAAATGACACAATAAAATCCATTATTAGGTATAATTAATATATGCTAATAAAAGTTTAAATGAAGATACTTTTAATTTCTCCCAATAAAAGTTTTGCAGTTTTCACCATATATAGCTTACACTTTTTTGTTAACTTTATTCTATCCTTAATGCCACTGCCAATCAAATCATTCCTTAGTATTACTACATCACATACACAGAGTGATTTAACTACAAAGCCTTTCACATTTGATCATTGTAACAATCCTACAAGGTATATATAATTACAAGCCTTTTATAGACCACAAAACAAATGCCCAGTGTGTTTAAAATGCTGCCCAAATCATTCAGGTCAGCAAGCCTGGGAATCAAACTCGGCCCTGATTTTGGTCCAAGGCTCGATTTTATCTAAATTGCATTTCATGGACACAAGATTAGATCTAAAAGTCAGAAACATATACCTTCTTGCCTGGTCTGGTCAGAGTAAAGGCAAGAGCTCTGGGGTCAGACCACCTGGGCTATAGTTTCTGGTCTGCCTTTCATCTACCTAACTTCATGAAAATGCTGAAACCTAAGGTTAAAATTAACACTGAATACCTGGATCTAAGTACCCGGTGAGTGCCAAGTACTCAATCGCATTCCCCTTTTGCGGCACCTCCTAGTATAGAGCTTTACCTATTACTTAAATAATATAAAATCTTCAAGGTCATGCTATCAGATACATAAAATAACAGTGTGCATAATCATAAAAAAGCCAAGTCAGGTATTAAGTCCAATATATATACAGATTACTACTGCTACTATTTGGCTCTTAAGTGCTCCACGAAAGGCCCATGCACTAAGTTTGGTCATCAGCTTGACATTACTGGGAAGGAGACAGAGAAGTAAGGCCTAGTAGGTAGTTTTAGGCCATGGGGCATGCTCTTGAAGGAATGATGAGACTTTCTATTTTTAAGATGATTATCTCGGGTATTTTCTTACAGTAATGGAAACCTAACAACTACCAAATTCCATCTCTACCTAAGCCTTTTCTCATATACTTTAGAACCAAAATCCAAGTCCTACTTGATATTTTTTAGATAGAAGTCTAATTAGACATCCCAAATATATCAGGTTCAAAATTAAGCCCCTAATATTCCCTAACTCCACCCATCATTGTCCAACTCTCCATTAATGGCAACTGTATCCTTTAGTTTCCCGGGTCAAAAAAATTTCTGTTATACTTTAATCTCATCTATGTTTGGCGCCCAGTTGATAAACCTGTCAGCTATAACTTAAAATACATCCAGAATTCAACCACTTCTCACCACACCCCCACTACCACCTTGATACAAGTCTCCATCATCTCTACTATGAAGGAAGGTTCCAGAAAGAATCTCCACCTTTTACTGAACAGTTCTGCAAGGCTGATTAACTGACTAGAACTTCAAAGATGGTGGAGAGGTTTGAATCACTAAAGCATTTAAATTTTCTCTGGCTATCTTTAGCCCCCTTATTAACCATTTTTTTCTCATCTGTGCCTCATCTAGCATCCTTGTGACTCTTAGATGAAACCTTTATGCTAAGAACGTCACCAGACAGCATTTGAGGCCTATAGCAAAGTTTTCCCTGCTTGACTTTAACCCACCTATTTGATCTTTCCATCAATGTAATTGAAAAGTGTCTTGATTTATGACTCTCTTTGTTCTGTTACTATAAAAAGTCATCAAACTGCTACCACACTGGACATGGAAGGTGGGGTAACCCAAATCACTGTTCCCAGGTCATGGTTATTCAAATCTAACTACCTCATCCATTTTGAAGTGAGAGTTGTGGTTTGCACTGACACTAACATTAGATTTTGAACTATTTGCCCCAATTCTACTCCTGTCCCCCTACAATATATTAGCAATAAAACAGCCATTTCGTTCTGTAAATTTGATTCAGATCATGTTATTCTCATCTTATTCAGTCATTTCCAGACTATCAAGTCCCTATCTGACTGGGGGCTTGCTCTCTGACTTCACTACCTGCTTTTCTCCCTGTTAACTACTCCAGCCACACTGCACAACTTACCCTCTCTGAACCCACATCTACAGACATACACATCTCAAGGTCTGGGCCTCTGTTTGCTCCTTTGTCTGGAGTACTCTTCGCCATCAACCTCCTGGCTAGTTCCCTTTTCAAAAGTCATCCCTTGGTGCTGCCTTTCTTATCTCTCTAATCTAAAACTCTGATACTTTTCCCTCCCCTGACAATTCATTGACCCCTTTTCTGACTTACTGTTTTGTTCTTTAGAACTATATCCTCCTAGTATATTTACAGATGCCACCCTGTTTGATTGTCCACCTGTTATACCACAGCTCCACAGGGGCAGGGACTGGGGCTGTTTCGATGACTTCTATATCTTTAGTTCCTAGAACCAGGTCTAGTCACAGGAGCCAAATATTTATGGAATGAATGAAAAAGAAATCAACTGTCTAATTACTTGTGTCCTAGCACTAGATATCTTACATAGAGGTCTACGAATAAATAAATGGAAGTTCATGAACATGTATTTCATCAATATTTTATAACACGAAAGAGCAGGTTTGATATGTCATACAAATACGTACATTAACCTTCAGCTGTGTGAAGCAATGGATTGAACAATGAACTAAGTCAGCAAATACAAGTTTTGTTTTTTTCAAATATTTTATTATTTTTATTTTATATGTATGTGTGTACTGCCTGCATGTAGGTAAGTGCACCTGTGTGGTGCAATGCCCACGGAAGACAGAAGAGGCTGTCGGATCCTCTGGACCTGGAGTTACAGACAGTTGTTAGCTGCCATGTGGGTGCTAGGATTCGAACCTGGGTCTTCTGCAAGAACAGTCAATGTTCTTGACTGCTAAGCCATCTCTCCAGCCCCATAAATACAAGTTTTATATCCTCATTACCCACGTAATTGTCAGTAAATACCTATGGGAAGCTCAATTCTCAAGTGTACTGTAGAAAAGAAAACTAAAAAAAAATTTACAAGGTCCAAACTAATATGTGCCATGAACTAGATATACTAATATGCAGCACAAACTATAAAATAATACACAAACATGCAGATGTTACAATTACTATCATATTATGTAACCATGAGATGTATTAATATCTCTAAGAGGTAAAATAATAATAGAATATATGAGAAAGTGTTTTTCACAAATTTAGTCAAACCACTAATTCAATCAACTTGTGTGTATATGTGTGTGAGAAAGCACATGCAACTGTGTGTGTGTGTGTGTGTGTGTGTGTGTGTTCGCACACACGTGCTCCTATGCAGAGGCCAAGGGACAGTGTCAGGTATCTTCCTCTATCCCATTAAACCCCTTACTTTTTGGATTTAGGATCTCTCAGTGAACCAAGAGCTTGCTGTTTTGGCTAGACTGACTAACTAGAGAGCTCCAGGAATCTGTCTATCTGTACCCCTTACACACACACACACACACACACACACACACACACACACACCCCAGAACCAGGCTTACAGGCATGCATCCCATGCCCAGATTTTACAGGGATACTAGGGGTTCTGAGCTCAGGTCCTCATGCTTGCACAGCAAGTAAATACTTTACACATTGAGCCATCTCCCGAACCCATCAGTCAACTTTTTCTCAGCAGATGTACAAATAAAATAGATGAGAATCCAATTATATTAAGTATATGTGTGTTTGAACTACAACTTTAAATTCTCTCTTTTATTACTATATACTTCTCTTTCTTAAAAAATGTAATATTTTAATTGCAACCTATTAATGTTGTCCTGGGGAAAATCAAATCTATACCTTTTCAGTTTTAGCAAAAGCAGAACAAAAAGGGAAACTCCCATGCCAAAGAGGAGTCATAGTTTTCAACTACCAGAGTAAACCACACAGAGGTTGGTTTCTCTTAAGAGAAGAAATAGCCTTTATCATTACATCAATTTGCCAGGCTCAACCCAGATAAGAAACCCTCCATTATTTGCAAAACAAAATAGCTGTCCCCACAGCCCCAGCCATGTAATGAGCTCAGTGCATTTGACCTTAAAAGGTCACCAGCAGCACTTGGTGGCTTAGCAACCGTGTTTGGAGTTGCTGAGAAACCTAGCATGCACATGGACTTGAAGTTCTTGGTTTAGACAAGTACAAGCAAAACCAATCATTGGGAAATCTAAAACAAAACAAAACAAAACCAAAAAACCCCACTGGTTTCCATGAGAGACTCCAGATACCTAGACAAAATTCCCAACAACCAGCCTCACTTAAACACTGGCAGCAATTTGTCTGAGAACTAGTTAAGCTAACCAGTACTTCAGGGGCTCCCTTCTGAGTTTATATCTAAATAACTGAGAATCACCACTGGTGAAATAACCTATGGGCTGTAGAAACATGAGTCCTACAACGAAACCAGAGCGTAATTAAAAGAACTGCCGAAAGAGAACTATTAACAGCTACTATTCATTAAGGCCTTGTCTAGCCAACAAATGTTCACTGAGTGCCTACCATGTATCCGGCACTCATTAGGAAAACCTGAAAGTGTCACCAGGGTAACTGTATGCTGCTTTATTATCCAGTACTTTCCTAGTTCTATTCCTTCAGGCTTTCTACAAGCATTCCATCAACTGAAGTTCCTTTTGAGACAGCAAACTCACCTGAAAACAATGTTTGAGTGTGAACTGATGTTTTTGCCACCATACAAGGTAGTGATCCAAAAAGGTCGTGGTTTCACACCCCACTGGTTAAAACAATTATCAGAAAATATCTTCAAGTCCCAATGAAAAGGTTCAAACATGTCATCAATACCATTTGTACAAAAGGGCATGACCATTTCTGTGCAGGCCTAAAAAGGGAACGGAGAGAAAACAAGGCACACAGACGAGTTATTCCAGGTCATTCAAGGTAAACAGCAAGGGGAGGGATTGACCCTGCAGCAGAGTTTCAGGGCCCCCACTTTACTTCCCTGCCACACATTCCCTTATCTTTCACAGAAACACATGGTTGAGAAGTCACAGAAGTCAGGACTATGCATTCCTTCTTTTTGCAAAAAGCCTTTTTCACATCTATGATCATATTTAACCCTCAAGACAACTCTAGGAGAAAAGCATTATTACTATTAGTCTTACTGTGCAGAAAAAGGAATGAAGACTCAGAGTCTAAACTCCTTCTTTCTTGGGTCCACAAGGTGCTTCCTTTACAAGACTTGCCAAGGTCTATTATAATGTTAATTACCTACCTATCTTTCTCACCAGGCTATATTTGATGGAAAGCATACTTTTTCTTTTCCGTTTGTGCATTTTCTAATGATTTTATTAGTGTGATCACAAGTTTGACATTTATAGTACATACGTTGTTAACAGAGCTGAAGACAAATATTTGAAATAAGTGAATTACCTGTGGCGAGTTTTAAAATGGCAGCTCTAAGTGATATGCAAATCCCACTCATTCACATGTGCACCCCTCACTGTAGGACCCACTCTATGCTCATCCTCACTGGGTCTGGGTGCACCTTCAGCTTGGTTTGGGCAGGACCTGCTGTGTCTTTGTTCAGATCCAGATTTTCAAGAGCAACACTGTTGAACTCTTCCATGGAGCATGGCGGCAACACCAGGTTTCAGTTTGTTGGGATAAAAATGTAATGACTGACTACCGCTTATGGGAGCCACCTGATCCCGAGCTCGGCTAACAGAGATGTTCTGAGGTCTTTGCACAAGGCCACCAGTGTTTCCTCCCGGGGGAAGTCTAGAAGTGAGGTACACAGTCTTCCATCACGCTGTCAGTGACGCAGCTGGACCCAAGGTGGGATTCATAATAATTTTTTCATCAATGGTATTGACAGTCCAACTAACAAGCTGGATTCCTTTAGCTGACCACTTCTTCAAATAGTCCCAAGAGACAAAATTCTTCTGCATGAGAAAAGCTAAAATTCCATACAAGTACCACAAGACATTGTGCATGCTCCAATAGAGCAGGATGTCCATCACTATAAACATGGACTGCTTCCGGAAAGTATTGTCAAGAGGCTTCCCATGTCCAGTATGGCTCAGGCTCCAAGGTCTGTGTATTAGAGTTGTTATTACTTTCTGATCTGTTTGTCTCATAGATAGCTTTTGGCAAGAAAGAGCAGACTACACCACTACTGTATAGTTGTGGAAATCTTTTTTTTTTTTTTTTGTCTTTTTGAGACAGGGTCTCTCTGTAGCCCCAGGTGTCCTGGAACTCACTATGTAGACAAGATTGGCCTTGAACTCACAGAGATCCGTCTGCTTCTGCCTCCCAAGTGCTGGACTAAATGTGTGTGCCACCGTGCCCGGTGGGGAATTTTATGTCTATATCTATATCTATATATATCTGTATATATACCAATATATATATATATACACACACACACACACACACCTGTGTGTGTGTGTGTGTGTGTGTGTGTGTGTGTGTGAGTGTATTCTTTAGAACATCAGCACCCATGTCTGCATGGCCTTTGACATCAAATAAGACCATGAGGTTATGATGCAGCCACTCTGTGACAGCTTCCCTCAGGGTAGGGATCTTTGCATCAGGGAACTCACTCCTGAGTCTGTGATTTGCTGCAGGGTTAAGTTTCCTAACTTGTTCAAATGTCAAATCACAGAGGCAACCAGTCCCGTTCGTTGTCCTATCTACTGTGTTATCGAGCATTTAGACAGGAATCCCATCAGAAGTAAACTCGATGTCCAACAGCACACCTGCTGCTCCATTCTTAACTGCCTGCCAGATGGCGGCCAGTGTGCTCTTGGGCACATAGTGGCTGCGCCCTCAGTGGGCGATAGCAGACACAAGGTCATGGGACTTGAGCATCTGCAGGGCCCAGTGGGACCTCGCCAGTTTGAAACTGAAGAGCCACAGCAGGACGCACAGGCTGCTGGTAAGCAGGCAGGCGTTGAAGAGGCTGCACAGCAGCAGCAGCAGCAGCAGCAGCAGCAACTGGGTGCAAGTGGGACCAGCGGCTAAGGAGCTGCCACGTTATTTATTTTTATTATCTTTGAAGCATAAGAGAGCCTGATCAATGGTAAGCACTCACTATATATTCAGTGATGAGTAAATATCGGAAGAAAGGAAGGACAGAATGAAAGAGGGAGAAAGAAAAAAAAGGAGGAAGACATTCCCAGTGTTAATGATCAGTGAAGAACAAACCCAACTCAGAAATCCTTCATCTTACCTGATAGCTCCACCCCATAGATCCTAGACTACTGGTAGTTGTTTCTGAAATATTCAGGCACTTTGCCTGACCTGAATAATTATAATACACATTTAGAACTTGGAAAATATTCTGCAGCAGCAATGTATCAGATACATTAGGATTTTTCAAATACTGGCACACCACCTAGAGAGTTAAACAGAGGAAGAGTCAGATATGAATAGAATAATTAATTTAATAACAAAGAAGGGAAATTATTTGGGTTTATCATAAAACACTGTTAAACATCTAAATTCATTGCTTATATTTGTCCATCTCTTAAAAATAATTCCCTCTCTAAAAGAATAAACCTTTACATTTTTCTGCAGGGTACAGAAATAAACCAGCCATTTGCATGGTATACAAGGTGCTCTTCACCCACCATTCTAGTCCCTTCTTTGCGGTCTCTGCTCCAGAGTTCAGAAAGTTCCCCTGACACGTCTTTCCCTCTTCTTTGCCCTTGCTCGTCCTCAAATCTCCTTTTCCACATTTTAATTGTATGAATGGCTGGCCAATTTGTCCTTTGATGCACGGAGCAATTAGAATGCTTTAACAGCTCACTAAATGACAGTACTATGATAAAAGCTGCCATTTGTTAGGCATAATCAATGTTGTTAGATAGATCGAGGCATGATACACATATCACAAAAACCAGATATACTACATATGCAAAGTGAAGCCCAGAATTTGATGCATAGCTATCATTCCATTAATAGCAACTGTTGGTCTTATTTCTCATTCATATAATGCTATAACTGATTAAATTAATTTCCAGTTCTCAAATAAGGAAACTGAGGTCAGAAAAAGTAGCTAACATGCCCAAGGTCACAGAATCAGCAAGCTGCAGAACCTGGATTCCAGCCCACAGTTGCTAATTTCACAGAGCCCCCATGGCATCAAGATTTCTTCTGATGCTGAAAGTGAAAGAAGGAACATCAAAAAAAGAGAAGTGTGTTATTAAAAATAACGAGAAGATGGAGGCTGGAGAGGCAGCTCAGTGGTTAACAGCACTCCCTCTCTTGCAGAGGACACAGGTTTGATTCACAAGCCACATGGTGGTTAAAAACTTTCTGAAACTGTAGTTCCAAAGGATCTGATGCCCTCTTCTAACCTCTGCAGGCATTGCAAGACACGAGGACACTTACATGCAGGCAAAACACTCATACACATAAAATAAAAATAAATTAAAAAAAATTCAAATTAAAAAAATTATGACCAGGCATTTTCTGTTACCTTAATAGGCCAAGCAGGCAAAGGCTGTAAAAAGCTGGTTGCATAAGGGTAGTTCACCATGGCCAGATTCACCCAGGTTTCAGACAGCCATTCTTTTAAAACTGAGATGTCCCCAGAAGTTAAGGGGCTACAAAGGTGAAGAGCTTCAGTAAGCCACTGGAGACCACGGCCTGAAGACAGAAGGACACTGCTAATGTAAAGGCAACAGATCATTTATTCTTTACTTGGTATTAGAGAAAACACAATTTTCTATAACACTTCTGCAATACTTTTTTTAACATCCAACAAAATATCTTATAGCAACTAGATAAAACCATGTAGAAAAGCTGCATATTGTCATAGAACTTATCAGACTTTGGATATGTCTAATGAATAGAACATCGAGAAAAAGGCAGCAGACAAAAAAACAACAAAAGAAGCAAAAGCTATGTTCTATGTAATGCTGATTATGAAGATTCATGAATAAGCAAAATTAGCATATGACTCAAAGACAGGTTAGCTGTGTAGGTGTGGAACACGGAATAGAGATGCTTATTTTGTCTTTGCTTAATCTAGATACTAACTATACCAAATACTTACTTTGTGAAACTTTATTAAGTCATTCACTGATGATGATGATGATAAGGCTCAGTAGGTAAAATGCCAGTTGTGCAAACATGAGGACCTGAGTTTGAATTCCCAGAACTCATGGAAAAACCTAGAAGTGATGGTTTCTGCCTATAACTCCAGTTCAGGAAGGAGGGAGAAGGGCAGAGACAAGCAGATCCCTGAAGCTCACTGGCCAGCCAGCCTAGCCCAGCTGATGAGCTTCAGGTTCAGTGAGAGACTCTGTCTCAAAAAAATAAATAAATAAAGGTGGAGAGAGGTTGGAAAAGGCACCCAAGTCACCCTCCAGCCTCCACATGCAAGCACAAGCATGTGTACCCATACCCATACACTCATATTAATCAGCACACATACAACACATATAAAACAATGCACACACACACACACACACACACACACACAGAGCACACAACAAATACACATCATTTCTTCAAACATTAAAAAAAACAAAAACAGGTAGGGGTTGACATCTCAGCAGACCACCCAAGAGGGCCTGTTCTGGCCTCCCTCTAGCATAGGACCTGTGAGGACTCAGCAGACCACCTGAGAGTCCCAAAATTGGGACTACCCCCAGGGAACTTCCCAAATTGTGCTCTGAGTACCCACTAGTAGGGGATCAAACTGTAGAAGGGGGCCTGAGTGTACCTGACTGGAACTTGACTTGGGCTTCTGTGGAAGCTCTGAGTAGCTGATCTGAAGCCATAAGTTCCCTCCAAAACAACACCTGAGAGAACCTGAAACCTAAACCAACCAGCTTTACATAACCAATAAGAAAACGACCAAGGCACGCCAATATGACAAACAGAAGAAAACTTCAAGTTAATTTTCATACCAGAATCACAGACAACAAAAGAAATTAACATGCCAAAATCACAACAAAAAAATAATAAAATGGAAAGCCAAAACACTATGTCCTCACCAAACTCCACCAATCCTATAGAAGAGTTCTACAAGGAGAACACCCTAGAGATAACCCAGGACACAGAATTTAAAAGAACAATCATAAACATGATCAAGAAATTCAATGAATTTAAATAACACACAAACAAACAGACACCCAAAGATCCAGAACATTATAAGGGAATACTTTAAAAATGTATAGTCTACTAAATTTGAAAATGTAAAAGAAATGGATGAGTATCTAAAATCATGGGAACTGCCAAAGTTAAACCAAGAAGAGATCAACAGTTTAAACAGACCCATAATGTATAAGGCAATCAAAACAGTAATACAAAGCCTCCTGACTAAAAAAGCGCAGGCCCAGATGGATTTACAGCAGAATTCTACCAGACATTTAAATAAGACCTCCAACCAATAGTACCTAAATTATTCAAAGATAGAAACAGAGGGAGAACTCCCAAATTACTTCTATGAAGCCAGCATCACTCTAATACCCAAACCAGGTAAAGACACAACCAAAAAAGAAAACTATAGACCCATATCCTTAATGAACTTAGATGCAAAAATTCTCAACAAAATACTTGAAAACCACATACAGATGTACATTAAAAGATCATTCACCAGGGCTGGGGAGATGGCTCAGTGGTTAAGAGCACTGACTGCTCTTGCAGAGGAGCTGGGTTCGATTCCCAGCAAGCACCCACATGATGGCTACAAACCTTACTTAACTCCAGTTCCAGGGGAATCTGAAGTCCTCTTCTGACCTCTGCAGCATTACACAACACAGATGCACTCACATACATGCAGGCAAAAAAAAACTCATACACATAAAATAAAAATAATAACATTTTTTTAAAAAAGATCATTCACCATGATCAAGTGGGCTTTATTCCAGAAATGCAGGGATGGTTCAATAAATGCAATAAACACCATCAACTGTATAAATGGACCAAAGACAAAAACCACATCATCATCTCAATAGATTAGGAAAAGGCTTTTGACAAAATTCAGCATGCATTAATAATAAAAGTTATAAAGGGAACTGGACTGGAGGGAACATACCTCAACACAATTAAAGCTATATACAACAAACCCACAGACAACATCATTCTAAATGGAAAAAAAAAAAAAAACTGGAAGCATTTCCATTAAAATCAGGAACCAGACAAGGATGTCCACTAGCTCCACTCCTTTTCAACATAGTGCTTGAAACTCTTGCTAGAGCAGTAAGACAGGAGAAGGAAATTAAAGGAGCACTAATTGGAAAAGAAGGGGTCAAATTATCCCATTTTACAGACGATACGATACTATACCTAAGAGCCCCCAAAACTTCCACCAGAGAACTCCTAGAACTGATCAACACTTTCAGGAAAGTAGCAGGTTATAAAATCAATCTACAAAAATCAGAAGCCTTTTGATATACCAGTAACAAGCAATTGGAGAAAGGGTACAGGGAACCCTCCAATTCATGATAGCTGCAAATAAATTAAATAAATAAATAAATAATCTTGGAATAAACCTGACCAAAGACATCAAAGACCTCTACAATGAAAATTTTAAATCTTTAAAGAAAGAGATTGAGGAAGACACCAGGAAATGGAAGGACTTTCCACGCTCATGGACTGGAAGAATTAATATTGTGAAAATGACCATCCTACCAAAAGCAATATACAGATACAATGCAATTCCAGTCAAAACTCCCATGACATACTTCACAGATTTAGAAAAAAAAAATCCTTAAATTCTCATGGAAGCACAAAAGACCCCAGATAGCCAAAGCAACCCTGAGCACAAAGAGCAACATTGGGGGACTTACTATATCAGATCTCAAAGTATACTACAGAGCTATAGTCATAAAAGCAACATGGTACTGGCACAAAAAATAGACACATAGATCAATGGAACATCATTGAAGATCCAAACCCTAGCACACGCAATTTCAGCCACCTGACATTTGACAAAGGTGCCAAGAACACACAATTGAGCAAAGACAGCATCTTCAACAAATGGTGCTGGCAAAACTACATCTCCACCTGCAGAAGAATGAAACTAGATCCTTACTTTTCGCCTTGCACAAAAGTCATCTCTAAATGGATCAAAGACCTCAATGTGAAACTGGAAACCCAGAAACTACTAGAAGAAAATATTGGCAGTAACCTACAAGATACAGGTGTAGGAAAGGACTTTCTAAATTGGACAGAAGTTGCTCAGAATTAAGATCAACAATCAACAAGTGGGACTTCATTAAACTAAAAAGTTTCTGGACATCAAAAGAAACAATCAAGAAAATGAAGAGAAAACCCACAAAGTGGGAAAAAATCTTTACCAGCGACATATCTGACATAGAGATTTAACATCCAGAATACATTAAGAGCTCAAAAAACAAACAAGCAAGAAAGTAAATAACCCATTTAAAAGATGAGCTAAAGATCTAAACAGAGTTCTCAAAGGAAGAAATAAAGATGGCTAAGAAACATCTTTAAAAGTGCTCAACATCATTAGTAATTAGGGAAATGCACGTCAAAACCACCTTACCCCAATCAGACTGGCAGGATCAAGAGAACAAATGATAATAAATGCTGACGAGAATGTGGAGAAAGGGGAATGCTCATTCACTGCTGGTGGGATTGCAAACTCCTGAAACCCCTATGGAAAAGTGTGGAGAACTCTTAAAAAACTAAAAATGAACCTACCATATGACCCAGTTATAGCACTCCTTAGTATATACCCAAAAGACTTATCCTATCGCACAACCTACTTATCCTACTTGTACAACCATGTTTGTTGCTGCTCTTTTCACAATAGCTAAGAGATGGAAGCAACCTAAGTGCCCCTCAACTGATGAGTGATTAACAAAAGTGTAATACATTTACACAATGGAATTCTATTCAGCAGTAAAGAAAGATAAAATAATGAAATTTGCAGGTAAATGGATGGATCTAGAAATTATTATATAGAGTGAAGTAACACAGACTTAGAAAAACAAAAGACCCATGTTCTCCCTCATTTGTGGATCCTAGCACCAAATCCTTATAAGTGAGTGCATATCCTGATGTAACTGCAGGGACCAGGAATATGGAAGAGAAACAGGGAGGTAAAGGGAAAGAAGGAACCTGAGAGAGAAGACTAGTAGGATAAAGCTGTTACCAAGGGAGAAATTTGTAAATGGGGTTAGTTAAAGGGGAAGGGGGGCAGGAAGGAGGACTATACAAAGAACTATGGGAATAATCAGGGAAAATTTTTCCAGATACACAGTAAAAAAAAAAAAAAAAAAGCCTTAAGAACAGAAAGAACCCTATGGAGATAGAAGAAAGCCCTTCCAGAAGCAATAGGGTTGTTAAATGAAATCCCAGTGCCAGAGGTGTGTTGCCTCCATATAAGCTGTTGGCTTGAGGGATACTAGAGGTCCCCAAAACAATAAAGGCTATTGTCAATAATGGTAGTTGTACACCAGAAGTGGACAGAGGGACCCTATTGCTGAAGACACTGCTTGATGTGAGTGCAGGAGAGGGAAAAATTAAGCTTGGACTAAGCTTGAAACTCCCTGACACTGAATGGTAGATTCAAAAGACGATATGCAGATGATTAGGGGAGAATGGTCCCCTATAATTCTGCTCAGTGACGAACCCTGCATGTTGCACTATCAACATACCAAACAAGATGTACCTGCTGGTGCAACAGTGGGGTGTGTAGTGTATGTATGACCAGCAAATTTTTGATTGGATAAAATGCCTGGTCCTAGAGGTGGAACACACATCTTGTACTGCAGACCAGACCAACCCCCTATGGCAGGGTAGACTATAGGCCCCAGTGGGGAAGCCACTGCCATTGTTTTGTTAGCTGGATGTGATGCACCTGCTAAAGTATCATCCAAGCACTTGTGTTTACACCCATAGATTAAGTTATTATAGCAGCCACTGTTTAGATGTTCTTGTTTCTTGCTTTTTGTGTTTTTATAGTAGATGGAATCCCACTGAAATGGGCCAACAGCCCATGGAAAACTCATCAAGGAGTCGAGGGGGAGTCAGTTTCCCCTCCCACCCAATGAGCTGACCATAGCTGCATGTGGGGGAGGGGCCAAGGACATGTAAGCCAAGAACATCGGGAGGCCCCTCTCTCACCATTTTCTGCAGCTGTAGGGAAGTCATAGGATCTACATTTGAGTGTGGACTTTCCAGTGCAGTTGTAAATGGGGGTGCCCACTACTCTGTAAATATATCCCCACCCTATGCTCTGTTAAATAATAAATAAATTTGCAAATGAGAAAAAATTAAAAACTAAAAATATAAAGATTAAAAAAAAACAGTGAGGGCTGGAGAGATGGCTCAGTGGTTAAGAGCACTGGCTGCTCTTACAGTAGACCAGGGTTCGATTCCCAGCACCCACATGGTGGCTAACAACTGTATGTCCTCCGCAAGCACTGCATAACATGAGTGCACTTACATACATGCATACATAACATTTATAGACATAAAAATATATAAAATTAAAAAAAACACTAACAAGCAATTTATTAAAACAAAACAAAACGAACAAAAAAAGCAAATCTACTCTCTTAATTAAAGCTTACCTGTCCTTGAGATTCGGTTAATGGCACCCCAGGATCTGAGGATGCTCTCTGCACAATTCGGACCACTTTTTCTAAAATCTTCAGTTGTAATCTTCATGAAAACACCACAGGAAACCAAATCCTCAAACTGCCAGATGGGGGCAGAAGCTGCAAGAGCTCTAGATAATAAAGGGAAACAAGAAGAGAGGAAGAAAACGTAACTCATCTAACTTGTTTGTTTTTTATTTATGTCTATGTGTGTATATGCCAAGTGTGTCAGTGCCTGTGGAAACCAGAGGAACCAGAGCCCCTAGAACTGGAGGTAGAAGTGGCTGTGAGCCACCGAATATAGGTGCTGGGAACTGAACTCTGGTCTTCTGGAAGAGCAGTAAGTGTTCTTAACTGCTGAGCCACCAGTGCAGCTCCCCTAACTCAAGTTTTAAAATGGAAACTGAGAATGATCAAAGATGATAAGAATAAGAACAAGGCTATTAATGAGACTGAAACTGGAAATGCCAGTACAGCAGCATGGTACATGCTTTACCCCAAATGCATCTCTAAGTTTGTCTTGATCACTAAGAAGTGTACATCCAGCATCAATGAACTTACCCAACCACTAGATGAGGATATTTCATTCTGAACCAGGCTGCAAGCATGCCACCATAAGAGCCCCCTACAGCAATGACAGGTTGACTGTCAGCTCCTGGGATTGTTCTTTTCAAGTGTCTGATTAACTCTGCATAATCAGCCAGAGCTTGTTCTGATGTCAGAAAATTCAAGTGCTTGGAATCCTATATCCATGTATTTAAAAAACAAAAACAAAGAAGATAGGTGTAAATGAGCACATAAAGCAGCTCAGGCCTTGCACAGATCCAGAATACTATTTTCTTTTCTTGAAATAGAATTTTCAAATAATTGAGCTAAAATGCCATATCACCCACATCACTACATCAAAGCAGTCCATGAGAAGTTGTTTTAAGTTTGTGGAAGATGATATATTTTGCAATCAAATGCAACTTCATTGCTTTAAAAGGTTATTTTAAAATGTAATACAAGGGGCTGGAGAGATGGCTCAGTGGTTAAGAGCACCGGCTGCTCTTGCAGAGGACCTGCGTTCGATTCCCAGAACCCACATGGCAGCTAATAACCACTGGTAACTCTAAGGGACTCTGACCCCCTCTTCTGACCTCTGCAATCATTGCATGTGCAGTTGCACTTACACACATGCAAGCAAAACACTCATACACATAAAATATAAATTTTTAAAATTCTAAAAGCAATACAAGCAAGAGCAGCTCTAACACATATTTAAACACGAAAGGTATTGCTCTTGAAGAACAAAACAGAAGACTTTACTACTGTCCACTTAATCTAAACATAAATTATGGTTGCTGCCATAGTCATGATCTTGTCAATAAACAACTAAAGGCATTGTTTATAATTATTTTTAATTTACAAAACTCCTTCATATTTGTAATCAAAATAATATATTTGTAAAAAAAATTGCAAAAGCAACCAGCCTAGGAATGAGATTCTGGGCAAGTATTTCCATGGAGCACAAAGGGGCATTGGTCAAGCCTAGGCTCCGGTTCCATTTCCCTAAGTAGACAGTGGTCCCTTTACCCCCAGATGCTCAGCATCCTCCAGAATACACAGGGATGGCCTGGGGAGAGGACACAGGCATCTAGAAAATCCCTGCAAGTAGGTTTCCTGAGCCTGCAGCTTACCACAAGTACAAGGTGGGTGGGCATTATGAAGGATACCTTTGTTTACCAAGTAAAAATAAAATTGGAGCAAGAGTTGTGACTGTAGTGTGTTTGAGCCACTTTGGAAAAATTGTGACCAAATTTCTGACCCTGATAATATAGGTTTCCTCTCTGCCTTTTCCATTTCTACCTGGATAGGGTCTGTTTTCCTTCACACATACACATATATGTACAGTGGCAAAAAGACAAAAATGATTGTCAAAACCCAAGATCTGTTGCCAGGAGAGGCAGGAGGAGGAAGAGGCCTGGAAGGACTTCAGAGTTCCAATTTGCAGACAAAGGTAGCAGAGAGGTGTGAGCTGGCAGCATGGCTGAGGAAGCTTTAGGCCTTAGGCCTGAGTTCCTGTACCATGGAAGATGCAACACTGGTCCAGACAGCACAGAGTGCTCAGAGTGCTGACTGGCGTGTGTCCTTCTCCTCCATCCTCTTCATCCCATAAGCTTTACCTCTGCGGGTCCCCGGAGCACCTTCAAGTGGGACAGTTGGTCATGGAGAAGCAAACTCACGCTATCTGTGTCCTTGATGGAGCTTAAGTACTAACTTGCCACCTCCCCTGGTGATGCAGCCTGGCTTGGCTCCACCCTGAAAGTCTCATCATTTCAGACACCACACCGCAGCCTGTGAGATCACTCCTATGGCAGCAGGACAACACGCCCTCCATCCCAAGCCTAGGGCATGACCTGTCTGCAGGCTCACTTTCAAATGTCATCTGTACTAGATGCTATTTGCTGAAGGTTTGTTGAGATTGGAGAAATAACAGAAACAATCCATCAGTAATATTTAATGACAAATGTGATAGAACATAAAACAGCTTAATATACAATTTGTAATTTTATTTGATGTCTTGACACATTAAATGTTCAAGATGTAGGCAAATATGAACTAAATCCTGAGATAAGGATCTTCAGTAAAAATAAACTCACCCTTCTTCAGCATTGGGAAAGACAATGCAAGGCAAAGATGCTTATGGGAAAGGAAACTCATACAGCAAGTGCCCTGCAGTCCAGCTCTCCATGTGGGACCATTTCCCTCTGCAGCACATGAAGGTGAAGCACCAATGACCTAGTGCTGAACCCAGGAGGCTAGCAAATATCTTTAAAATGTCTGTAAATACAATTTTCACACTCCTTCCTTTCAAAGATGCAGCCTAAGTTCACTCTCTTTGAACCTGGGCTAGACTGAGTGACTTGGTTCTAACGAATGACATGTGGCAGAAGTGATGATGTGTGACTGCCTAGGTCAATAAGAAATCCCTGCAGCCTCCCCTTCGCTCCCTTGGTCTGAGAGTGTTGAGAGAAGCTAGCTACTGTGTCACACTACTCAAGTAGGCACTCAGGGCAGCCTAGGAGGAGAGGAACTGAAGTCTCCTGCCATCTCCACACCAGTTTTTCATCCCTCTGATGACCTATGTGTGGAGACAAGCCTTCAGAAGACAACAGCACTGGCCAGCATCTCAACCTGGAGAGACCCCTGGGCCAGACCACCCAGCCAAGCTGCTCCTAATTCCTCACCCATTGGAATTCTGAGGTAAAAAAAATTTTTTTTTTCTACAAACCTGACTTTTGTAGGATAAGGTTGAGATCTTAGCAGACAGCCTGAGAGGATGGGTTCTGACCTCCATCTGTGTAGTGGCTGGGATCTCAGCAGACTGTCAGAGTATGGCTGTTCCCACCTCCCTCTGGCATAGGGGCTGAGAACTCAGGGGACTGCCTGAGAGCACCGTATCCTGCCTCCACATGGTGGTGAGCTTCCCCTAGTTGCACCATACCCGACCCCCAACTGGGATTGTGTGAGGCCCCTCCCAAGGCCCCAGGTCAGACCTACCTTTGGAAGGATAAGGCTGAGATCAGAGAAAACAGCCTTAGAGGTTCGGTTCCAACCTCCATCTGTGTAGCTGCTGGGATCTCAGCAGACCACCAGAGAGTGCCTGTACCGCCTTCCTCTGGCATAGGGGCTTAGAACTCAGCAGACCACCTGAGAGTCCCAAAATCAGCCACCTCTTAGGGATCTTCCAAAATTTTGCTGAGTTCCTGCTAGTAGGGGTCCAAACCTTAGAAGGAAGTCTGAGTGTACCTGGCTGGAACCTGACTTGGGCTTCTGTGGATGCTCCTGAGTAGCTTATCTGAAGCCATCAGTTCCCTCCAAAATAAATCCTGAGAGAACCTGAAACCTGGACTAGTCAGCTTTACATAAACAATAAGAAAAGGACCAAGGCATGCCAATAATACAAACAGAAGCATACTTCACCTTAATTCACATAGGAGAATCATAAGTAACAAAAGAAATTCACATGCTAAAATCACAACAGAATAAAATGGAAAGTCAAAACACTATATCTCTGAGAGATGAATTGGGTCAATCTGGAGAAAGCACCACACAGATAAAACTCCTCAAAGAGGGAGCATGCTGCCTTTGACCAAAAGGTGCAGAAAAGTCTGCTTCTCTTGACTTCAAAGACCAGGGTGCTCATCAACTCAGTTCCTGCATTCTCAGGGGCTTGCAAAAATGTGAGGCCCTGTTGGGGAAGGGGCTGCTGCAGACCCAAACCCTAACAGTCCCCAACAAACCTCATCAGTCTTGTAGAAGAGTTCTACAAGGAGAACCCAGGACACAGAATTTAAAAGAACAATCATAAACATCATTAAGGAATAAAACGAATTTAAAGAATCCATGAACAAACAAATCAAAGAACTAAAAGAAGATATGGATAAACTTCTGAATGAACTCACAAAAGAGATGGAAACATTGAAGAAAACTCAAGCTGAATTGAAGAAGGAAGTGAAAAACTCAATAAGCCAACTTGAAACAACAGGGGAAAGCTTCACCACTAGAATGAATGAAATGGAAAAAAAAAAACACCAACACTGGAGGATAAAGTTGAAGAATTGGACCACTCAAGCAAAGATTATGAAATTTTTTTTAAAAACACAGGAATGGAACATGCAAGAGATGTGGAACACCATGAAAAGACCAAATCTATGTATCATAGGCATAGAGGAAGAAGAAGAATTTCAAGTTATTGGTACTGACCAGATCTTAAACAGGATTGTAGAAGAGAATTTCCCAAAATTAAGGAAAGACATCCCCATACAAATACAGGAAACACATAGAACACCAAATAGGATCAGAAAAGAAACTCCCCATGTCATATCATAGCAAAAACACTGTCATACTAAGTGAAATAGCACAGACTCAAAAAATAAAAGACATATGTTCTCCCTCATTTGTGGATCTTAGCACCAAATCCTTTTAAATTCCATGTACTTTTAATAAGATGATACTGTACAGCAGTCTCTTCTGCATGAAATAATTACCATCATGTCTTCAGCAGTGCCTGATGCTAAACATCGTCACAATTGGGCTTGTTGTCAGTTGTGTTCCTTCATTAGCAAACAGGGTTACTGGACCCTCACCAGAGTATCCAGCCAGTCTTCCCAGACAACTGTATGTAATTGGGCCCTAATCACACTTGGTCTCCTGGATTTGGGGAGGACTAAAGTGTATAATCTGGGGAAGGCTAGGAAGAGAATGCTTGACCCATGCTGGGTAAAGGCTTTCCAGTGTGCATACCCTCAGATCATTTATACACATCAGCAACCCCTCAGTTATCTCAGTAAGTAAGCTCAGTAAATTCATTGGTTCCCTAATAAAACTTTAATCAAATATTGATTTGATACTAGAACCTTAAAAGGGAATAAGCATTGCTTAGTATCCCCAGGAAAAGAATTCTCACAACAGATGGAAAATTTGTTAATGTTATTGTTTCTTATAATGATTTAAAAAACAAAATGAGAATTTAAAAGATGTTAAAAGGATATGAGAATGGAGATATTTTCCAAAATAGAAAAAATGAGAAAGCCTAAGCAAGTGAAGGTCTGTG